AATCCCACCAAACTGCAAAATACAACTAACACAGATCAAAACGCCTATACCAAAAATTGTAAAAGCAATAAAAAAAATATCTATCTACGAGATTCGCATGCGAGCGAACAATTAGATATAAGAATAGAATAAGTAATCGAATGGTCATTTTTATTTTAACGTTTTTGTTACCTAATATAGTAAGAGAATGTACACCCAAGAAAGCAATAAACAGTTAAAAAAAAATCCTCACGGAAAAATCATACACTGGAAAATGACCATATTAACACCCAGCTACCGAATCCGGACAAAAGAACATTAAACGCCACATCCAAGAAGTGGAACAGAAATGTCGCAGACCCATACAGAGTAAGGAGGAAATCCATATCCCTCTCCACTCAAGACCAGCAGTCATATTTAACAAATTCGTGAGTCTGAACACCTCGGACATACATCTAAGTAATAGATTAGAAAATTTTCCGAATGCCCAGTTACAGAAAAACCGCAAACAACTCACACTACACACAAACCACTCAAACAGAAACCCAACTACAAAAGAAACACACAAAACCTCTACTAATCTATATATATGGAAAAATGAACTTCTTAAGATTCCTCGAAATATTACAAAACGCTTACCAAAATAGAATTCAGGCAAAAAAAATTGCCAGAGCAAACTCAAATTACAATTTAATCTAACAGAAGATTTAAAAAAATTCAAATCCACATGCATCAACGAACATATAGAATTCCATACCTATTCCCTATCAAATGAAAAACATTTAACCGTAGTGACCAAAGGGCTACTAAAATTCATCACAAATACAATCGTAGAAAGTGCAAGGACTAAATTCAACACAGTGCCAAGAGCTAAGTAAAGAAACCCTATACCCCATATATAAAATAACTTTCAGCCCTGGAACCACCATACAGCAGGCAAACAAAGTCAGATTCATAGAAAACCTCAAAGTCTACTGGGAAAAATACGATACCAGAAAACCAGTAATGCAGTGTTACCGTTGCCAAGTCCATAAACACACCGCATTAAACTGCAATAAAAATATGTGTGTGTCAAATGTGTCGGACATCGCGACACTAGAACGTGCAAAAAAACACAGGACAAGATCGCAAATGCTAGGGCGGGTACTACGGTGTGGTACCCTATGCATGGCCGAAACAGTGCACGAGCATACCAGGTCAACGCAGACTCAGACGGACACCGTATCCTAGAGAAAGGTGTAGCAGTCACAAAGGTGCAGCGGTGCATCCTGAACTGACACTGACCTAGAATGACGTGCTTTACGGCAATGTATAAGCTCAGGGGAAAATCAACAAATACCAAACATGGGTGCTGCGGAGCGCGGTATCCCTAGGCATAGGACTTAAACGGTGTGTAATTATCTCAAGTTAATACCTACTCAGATGGATACGTATCTCAGGGAGAGAGGTGGTGGTTCCGAAGAAGGGGTGGATTGTGTCCCGGACTGTTCGTGATCCACAGGTCGTCGTGGGCAATGCGACGGCATCGCGATACGACGGCATATTATATATATTGTTTCTAGTAGAATCACGACGTTTCGAAATGGAAAGTCTGAGGACAGATGTGTTGTAAGTATGACCGAATGTAAGATAATCTTAGGGATGGAAGATGGGAACGCTGGTCACCTGTGTTTCGTTAGTCGGTACCTCCTTAAGGGATGCATAATAAATAGAGCCAGAGCCACGCTGAAAAGAGGGGCTCTCTGGCTAAGCAATGCCCTTCTCAGGGCATTCTTTTTGTAGTTTCCAAACTAGGAACACCGAATTAATGAGAGTACTGTTCAAATTGAATTATATCACATTATTTTTCGCCCGAACATGTTGTTTTACAACCAATATAATATATGTTGTATTCAGACAATGTAAATGGCTCCACAGTACACACGCTTTCACTAACAGAAATAGCACTTATATGGACGTCGCATTAGACAGAATGAAATGAGAAATAAACAAAGAAGATTAAACACAGATATCCTGCAGGATGGCCGAATGTAGGGTGTCAATGACTTGGACCACTGACTGACTGACAACATCAATATGGAGCAATGAACTCTGAAGGCTTCGACTGCAAATCGAAAAACAAAAGCGGACGCGACTCCATGAATATGGCAAAATTTCTTGAAAATGGCAAAAAAAACAGTAGAAAAAGAGACGTCATAGAGTCGTGAACGTAAAGTTTCAAGAGTGAGCGAACATTGTAAAAATAGCGTTTGAGTTTTTATAAGAATTAATAAATAGTAGATAACAGTTGAAATCTGTAAGAAAATTTGGTCCGCGTAACAATGTCACAGAAGAAAACGCACGTGCCGAGGTGCACGACTCAGATGTAACCTGACGCCAAAGGACCGGGTCAAACTCCGGACAACGGAAGAGTGCGTTGTAGCTGTTGAAGGCGACAAAGACGTCGCCGTTGCGAACCGAAATCGAATCGAGGACCACGTCATTAAGAGCCTCGATCCTTTGACCGAAGATGCCTTCCTAGAAGAAATATTTTAACATAGCTCTTAAGTATAATCCTAAGTTCGTGCCTTTTGTAAATATACTCTTTTTCGGTAGCTGTAGTCCCATTTGTTTTATTTACAAATTCCTCAATCATTTAAAATCTCTACAATATACAAATTATTATTAAATTTTTACTTATCTCCTAAAAGTAATTATCTTAAAAATTGTTGCTTATTATTTGGAAAAGTGTTTCAAACACAATTTTTTTAGTTTTGAGGGGAAAATATAACTTAGTGTAGTTAACTTATGTGTATATGGACACATGTACAAGTTGCATTTGAAACATTTTTTTGAATAGAAAATAGTTTTGAAGATATTTTGAAATGATCACACCACAAATCTAAAGCATTATGTGAAATCGATTACAAAATTTAATTTACAATAAATTTTTATCTTCTAAATTTAAATAAATCATCAGATTTCTTTACCGTTGTACCAGAAGTACCGGGAAATTGATTAAATTTTGAATGTCCTCCAAATCCATTAAATGAAATTGGATATTCCTATAGAAATAATGTTCATAAATGTTTTGAATATATATCATAACACAATAATCTTAAAATATATTACGTATACTTACCGTTAAATTTGTTTGCTCTATTCTTGGTTTTTTAATAAGTATTGAAGGATTTGATTTCATGGTACTACGTTTTTTAGTAGTTAATTGCTTTAACACGAATACACCCCCTGATTTTACTGGAAGATATGGTGAATCATTTTCGTTCTTCTGAAAAACAATTAGTGCATGTTTAAAAAGAACGATAAGAAAATATATGCTATAGAAATAATAAATTAATTACATGATTTGCTGTATCAGCAGTTGGATTTTGTTCTTTCTCACTAATATCTTCTATCTTAGTGTTTTTATTTGTTGCTGTACTTCCAATATCATTTGGCTTAATCATATTTTCTGAATTACTATTTTCACTATTTTTCATTTTTAAATCACAATTGCATGATTTACTTGACAATGATCCATTTTTCTCTAAATCTCTAAGTTTATTTTGTAATAACATTTTTTCACTTTCACAAGTTATTAGATCTTCTTCAATTTTTCTACAAGCAATACATAATGTTATACACTTTCAAAAAACAATTGAAATTTCGCAATTTTATTTCACTATTTGCGTACTTCCTCTTTGTGTGCTCTTCTGATAAAAAGTTCCTTTCCATAGATACTTTTGTTAGGTCTTGTTGCAGACTCTTCACTTTGGATCTTAATTCTCTTCTTCTGCTTAAACTAATTGTCATTTCTCTAAACATAACATGTAAATTGTACTGGAATATGTAATAAAAATAGTAAAAATAGTAAAAATAGTAAAAATAGCAAAAAATTATAATTTATTACCTTTTCATCACAGATATATACGTTATAAGAGTATTAGGATCACATGATCTTGAAATTAATTGGTCTACTTCTTCTGAGGATGATTCCAATAATGTTTGTATACTAAAATGTATGATATGCAATTATTAATACATATATTTATATACACCAAAAATTTCGTTATTACAATAGAACAATGTGTAAGCAGAAAAACTAGGGGAAGGAAAACATATCTAGTGGATGATAATTAACTTATTAAAAATTAGATGCGGCAAAGGTGAAAATATTGGTGCTGACTAATAACAGAAGCTATTGAAATTGTAAAAGAAATAATAAGATAAGAATTAAAGATAAAAATACGTTTAAATCCATTTGATTAATTTAAATGTATATTGATGGAACGAATAAAAAAGTACGTATTATAAAAAACTTCGAGGGAAGTATCACAAAAATATTCTAGAGGAGTATCTCAAATAAGAAATAAGATGACTATAATACTACTTTTCAAATGGCTGTGAATGATTTTGACCACACGATTTGATTAGGTTTCCAATTTAGACAAAGGTATTGGTATTAAGTATTATGTGCATCCGGCTCACCGGTATTGTTTCGAATTATCTACCCGGTTTCTCCTGTTTTCGTTTATATTATCGTTTATTACTGATGAACATTAAAAAAGTTACATTTAAACTTAATTTTTCACGTTTTGCTTTATAGAAAACTATTACAAAATCAAGAACATTTAACTCGTTGGTCTGCATATTTGTAAATTTTTTCAGAATTTTTGGTTGGTAAATCGATTTTTAAAAAATCATAGAATATATACACATATATACAGTAGTAGTCTTATTATAAGTTATTTACGTATAATTTTTTCAGATTTTTCCAGATAGTACATGTTTAAAAAAATCAATATTTCTTTACACTATAATTTTAATTATTTGCGTGACCGCGTTTATGTTTGTACAATTTTTGTAGCTTGTCATGCTAATTAATGTAACCCACTCGAGGTAGTGTAGAACTACTGGCTGCAATATTATGCCAGATTATTGCTTCTAGTAGCTTGTTATGATCATTAATATATCATTTTTCAAAAATTTATCATATTTATAAAGCTGAAAGATGGATATCTATTTATATTATTGCCTTGATTATTTGCGTGATAGCGTTTATGTTTCTACATTTTTATAGTTTCTTATGATTATTAATATATATGTATTCTTTCAAAATTTTTACTCCTGTTGCCGATATAAATGTGCCATATAAATGTACTTGGAAGGAAAGATTGCAAATTGTCCGACTTCAATCTGCATGCAATTTTTCTAACCTTTAAAATACCAAAATAACAATAGATCATTATTGTTTTTCAACTACGGAAATTCAAAAGCAAACACTTCTTGCGCGTAACTTCTTAAATCGTAGGTCATCTTTTTGAAATTTCTATTCCAAAATTGTACAAACACTTCTTTGGAAATTTTCAATATATTATTATTTATTGTGTCAATTTTTCGAGGTAACAGAAAGAACTATTTTTGACGAAAAACTACTTGTTATAAACACAGAAATAATTGTTGTTCTGCATGCTGACGTACAATGTATCACCCTTTATACTCATTTAATAAAAAAATCAAAATGATTAAAAAGTCCCAAATTTTAAACAAATTATTTAAGCGAATGAATTTTTTTGTACGCTTATGTTACTTAATTCTCGATATAAAACTGCACAATTTGAGGAAAAAATTCTATTCTATATACCTTAGTTCTCAATATTTGAGAACCATATCAGCTTAGAGAGTTGTTTTCACCCATTTAATATGAATAGTGCCCAATAAAAAAAAAGATTAAATAATATTTCTATAAACTAAATCGGCGTGTAGAGATCCAGTATGTCCCTTTCTTTACTCTTTTATGTGTTACTTCTGCCAAACTTACAGATTTTACTGCTGATGACAACTGACATTATATATCAAGGAGATCTTACAATAACATTATCCACATACTTACAAAACTTAAAAAGAGACACAATAAATTTTGCACATTTGAAGAAAATTTGAGAAAAATGAGAGTATGTATAAAACTTCTGAAAAACTCTGGACAGTTTAGCATGGAACGACTAGCATTTCAAGATCAAGCGAGAGTAAGATTTTTCAAGTTGCAAATTGATTCCATTTTAAATTGAGAAGAGTTTAAGTGGATAAAATATCTTCAGATCCCGATCTGATTCCGTTTCGAGCGAGAGATTCGGATAACGCCATTGAAAGAGTTAAATAAATCCATTCACACCTGATCAGTCGAGTCTGTTACAGATTTAATCTCGATTATATAGTTACAGTCCATAAAGAGTAGTCAAATAGGAATGCAAGGTGTCATCGAACTCTATTGAACGATGACAAATGGACGTTTAAAGGTAATTTGTATATGTTTAATCATATATAATGTTATAAAATATTATTTTGTTTAAGAAAGTCGATAAAATTATTTTCTACAAAAAATAATATATATAGCTATATAATTAATAGACAGCAAATTTTTGAAGATAAAAATATGCCTTTGTGCAATTAAATTTTATAAGTACTTAGGGTAATGGAGAAACAAGTTTTTGACCATTTGTTTTCGATACATCAAATTCTGCAGAAAAAACTTGTTGTATAATGGAGAATATAAAAGCAGAGTTAATATTTACTGGACAATATTTTTGGAACGTGTTTCCAAGTGCTGCAACTCGAAAATTAAATTAAAAAGCATCTTGCTAATTAAAAATATAAATTCGTTTAACTATATTCTCCTATAGACTAAGCTTTTAAAATTAACATCAAATTCAAATGAATTTAGAAACTAAGCTGAAACATAAAGCTTTATATAGAATGGTACACAGGTCTAACCGGAGCGACCACCCTGATAGATAAGAAAAATCGATTTAAACGAAACTGTTTAAAAGTATTAAGTATTTGGTACATTTTGGAGAAAAAATTTGTTTAAGTTTAAACATCTGGAGAAGTTATAGCAATGTATACGTTCGAGCTAAACGATTAAAGAACGGTGGTGCAAAAGTGGATGAAAATCGAAAAAACGCTCGAAAACTACTTACAAAAAAAGACAAATAAACGATTACAAACAATTTTTCCAAGCTAGAAGAATTGTTATACGGGCCTGGTATAACTAACTGAAAGTAACACTTTAACAAATTTTCGCTATTATGAAAAAATACCTTAAAAACTCATCCGTGATTTTCTCGAAGTCATGTTTTCACAATGTACATATACAGTATTCCACAATGTAGCGTGAGATTGTTTCGACATTTTAAATATTTAATCTTCTACAAACATTTAAACCTGATTGTTTGGATTAAAAAAAAGTTCTTGCTCTTAAAAATCTTGCTATTTCTATAATAATTAAAATGTTAGAAAATTCGTTTGCTATATTGTAGATCATATTCATTTATTTATAAATCCATAACGATTTTTGCGTTTAGATGTTCCAGTTGTTTGCAGTCATGTCTACCAGCAATGGATGTTTTACGAAAAAAGGTTTTAAAGCTAACAAATAACTCTGTCATTTCGTAACATTTGACTTAAAATAAATATAAATAAAAAGTTGAAGATTACATTTATATAGCCCAAGAAGATCAGAATTTTTCTCTTAGAAATTGCCAATAAAAAGCTTCCTAAAGTTTACTTATTTTTAGTATCACTTTCAAGATTACACATATCTTTCACACTGTATAGAATCTATTTAGAAACTGCTTACAAAATTCGTTATATATAAACTAATAAAAAAAAAACTTCTAAAAGTTTTAACGACAACGGTCAGCGAAATCATAAACAAAATCAATCATAAAATTAAACTACTGTATTAGGTCGATGCATATGGTATGTCGAACTTTTTTTACTCGTAAATGTTCGTACTTCTGTTGTTGTTATTTATTTGTTTTTTACATAACCACTTAAACAATTTCTTTGTCTATTATCAGAGTAACGTTTTGCAGAAGAAGTTTTTCCGAATAGTGCATAATATCTATTTGTTGAATAATTTTTTGAAAACATGGATACCACCGACATTCTTGTAATTTTCTTATATGAATTCAAACCTGGAAATAATGCTGCGAAAACTGTTCAAAAAGTAAACAAAGCATTTGGGAACAATACTGTGAATGAAAGAACAACGCACCGTTAATTTGCAAAATTTCGTTTCGGTGATGTTTCTTTGCAAAATGAGCCACGTGGTAAACTCGAAACAGTAATTTATAACGATATCCTTAGAATTTATTAATTCTAAAAATTCTGAATTTTTCAAAGAAGGAAGAAATCAAATAGAACATATTTTAATTGAATAAACGTTTTATAGAACATCAAATAAGGTTTCCTGTCTTCTACAAAAAGATCCAACATTTCATATGCTCCGACCTAATGATATGAATAAAGTATACAAAAATGAATAATGCACATGAATTTGAAAAATGGTAAAAATGTCATAAAGAATGTGCAAGTAAAATAGATGTTCATGTCGTCATGGAAATACACGCACGATACTCCGCTTATTGTTAGTGACTTGGTAAAAGGCGTCAATAACCCAATCTATTAAATTTATCAACAATTGATTTATTGGAACAATGTTAAGGCAGGAATGCCCAGAATAATAATGAAAGCTTCAACGACTTATTATAGTATTTGCGAATCATGTATAGAGTATTTCCAAAATCGTAGTGTAGTCAACTAAGATAGCGATTCTACATGCAAAAATAGATAGAAAACAAAGAACAACCTTTTTATATTTCGAACTTCGTTTTCGAAAAAATAAGTGTATTTAGAAATACCTCAGGCACGCGTGTACTAAGTTTAACGTTCAAGGTATTAGATTTCTATTTCTACTCGTGTTTGTATTTATGCACATGGATAATGTCGTGATTGTTATCTATTGTTTTTTTTTATTTCTATCTATTATATTATTTCCACGATGTCAAACTATACGATTACTTTCTTTTATTGTGCATTTAATTTGAATTTCATAAATAAGGATAAAATTAGTATTTCATAAGAATCAAAATGTTTGAAATACTTTCATTATTGCTGTGTAATCAGCTGTTTCAGAATTCAGAAATTACTCTCTACAGATTAGAATAAAGTCAAAGTATTTAAAATGTGAATCCTGCAGATTTTTAAATATTGTCATTCCTTTATTTTTCAATAGTTTTTTGTTATGCTTCTTATTTTATTATTCTTTCCAATTGGGAATCTTTTCAGTTTTTTTGGTTTTATCTTAATATTGCAACCCCTATCATGTCAGCCATAACCAACAGTTTTGAAAAAACTTCCCGTGAAATTGCTATAACTTCTGATTTAATAAATATATTTACTTAAAACAATTTCTGTATGGTTTTGTAATGTATCATAATAAACTTTCTTCCAAAAAATTCCTGTAAATCATAAGGAAGATCTTGTGCTCAAATAGTTTCAATTTTCATTAATAATTTAACTTTCCTTTATGTAGTATATGTATACCTTTATATAGTAACTTTATGTAATTTATCTTATCATACTATATATACATTCTTGTATCCTCTACACTCAAAATATTAAAGACAAGTCTCCGATCCTCAAGAGGGTAAGTCAATTCTACAGTTCTTTGGTACTAAACAACAGATAGCAGTAAGTTTCTCATAGGTACAGTTTACATTTTGTCTATTTTTATTATTTTAGTGTTACTGTTCTATTATTGTTATTTTTGAAATGGCTAGGAGAATGCAAATCCATTGTAGATGTGAGAATGTCCCAAATAGTGATGATGGGTGGAATATTTGGGCATGGCCAATCCGGATGCTCATAGTAATAGTAATTTTAATAGTGGCGGTGATATTATAATTCATAAAAAAATATGATTTGATAGTGAAACAAAACACCATACAAGGTAAGTAAAATATCATACTAAGGAAAAATATAAATATTTCATTTAGTTAAAATAAATTCATTCAAAAATTAATTTAAATTTAATTCAAAGCAAAACTTATAGATTTCCAGGTAATAATTGATTAAAGGTATGTCATCCGTTAAACAAGTGAAAATAATTCAGACCAATGAAATATGCATGCTACATCTGTTAAAACAAGAATGAATACAATTTTTCGGAAATTTATCCTGTTTTTTAAAATATAAGATTATTAAACCACTTGGTTTTATTTTACTAAAATTGACCAATGTAAATATTGTGTGAAATATAGAAATCAGGATTCTACAGCATAAAATACAAAACAAAAGTATCAATGAAAAAAAATGTTAAATACATTACAATGGAAATAGATCAAATGTGGAAGCATAGAAAGAGAAACGCTATGAGGCACAAACAAAGCAAAAAAAGAATCTGATATAGGCTTAATTGGCGAGGAATATATAATAGAAATTAATGGAGACCTAGAAAAATATGTGGATAAAAGTTAAAAATATGAGAAAAACGGAAAACAATCGGAAAGATGCAATCACTGAAATCAAAATGGAATACAAATTCAACAAATTTATAAAGATGAGATAAATGCACACTTACTAATAAGATGATGGAACTTTATATTATTATTAAGCTCTTAATAATATATCTAAAATTTAAATACCTTTTAAATTTTATAAATTAATAAAGAAAGAGGAGTAGTGAAAACTGAATAATTTTTAAGTACATTC